ACGCTAAACTCGAGGGTCCCTCATCTCTCCAGGTGATTTGTATACTGGAGACAGGACCCTAGTAATGCCACACGAGAGAGAGAGAGAGAGAGAGAGAGAGAGAGAGTGTGTATGTGTGTGTGTGTGTGTGTGTGTGTGTGAGGCATGTGTGTGTTTTAAGTGAAATAATCTATGTTCGTAGGTGTGTGTGTGTGTGTGACTCACTGGTTCAGCGTTAGGGCGGAGGCTAGCAACGACTGACACACACACACACACACACACACACGAGAGAGTGCGTGTGTATGTAAAAGGAAAGGGGGGTCCTCTTGCTTGGGGGCGTGGCAGAACAATAAGAGGATGGAGAGAAAACCTTATTAGTGGTGCAATATATAGCGCCATAATGTAGTGGCGCCCGGCTGCTCCTCCCACCATAATCTCATCGGACAAAATATAATGAGACAAAACCCCATTGCAAGATTAAGCTTGTTAATGGATGGATGGATTAAAGCAACAGGAGAGAGAGAGAGAGAGAGAGAGAGAGAGAGAGAGAGAGAGAGAGAGAGGAACAATTAGACGAGAAAGTCATTCAGTATTTCGCAGGTAATGACGGGTGTTGTCCTTTGGTTGGTAACAGTGGGCGGGAGTCTACGTTCAAGATTCTTTTAGATAATAATAGTAATAGAAAATGAAATGACTGGCTAATAATAATACAAATATTAATAATAATAATAATTTAGATAAAATATATATACAACAAGTAACAATATACCCCAATTACGAAATATTGCTCCGTACGACAAATTCACTTTCACTGGTCATCTACTTTAGTTACCCCGGTTATATCTGAAGACTTGAACGTTTTCTTTGATTCGATATTTTTTTTTCCACATCCATCCATAGAATCTTATCAGAGTTCGCACGACAGAAACTTAACTAGAAAAGTGACAACGTATTTAATTAGCTCCCTTAGATTACGATACAATAATGGATTCTTAAAGGTACTTAGGTTAAATTTGCAACTTTAAATTGAGGTATGAAAACGCCTCTACATTCTCTAAATTTTCTTAAGTTGTTTTTATGTGAGGCAACTGAGACTAGATAGATATAGAGATATAGATTAGACAGATAAATAGATAAATGGACAGACAGAGAAGCAGACAGACAAAGGGACAAACAGATAGATAAAGAGAGATAGAGAGAGGGAATTAGACAGATAGACAGACACATGTAGAGAGAGAGAGAGAGAGAGAGAGAGAGAGAGAGAGAGAGAGAGAGAGAGAGAGAGAGAGAGAGAGAGAGAGAGATACTGTGTGTCTATTCAACAATAGTGATGACACCACCGTGGTCTCTCGTAACTGATAAACTCTCTCCCCCTTCCCCCCTTTCCCTCTCCCCCTTCATCCCTCCCTCTCTCCTCTCCCACCCTGAGCACTCGTAGCGATAAAATGTACTGTACTGGTGGTGCCCTAACCGTCCACACGTGTTCAGTTCTACCAATGTCCCAGTATAGTGACATGTGAGGTGGATATTGACACGCGTATGTCCTAGTGGTGGTGTTGTGTACAGGTGATGGTGCCCTAACCGCCTATACGTGTCCATCTACCCGTGTCTCAGTGGTTAACAGGTGGTGGTGTGCCCATACGTGTCCAATCCCACGCCGTGTCTCAGGGATAAAGGACACGTACGTACCATGAAAGCAGCCTCGTGAGTTAGCTTCCTCGTGTCTCATTCTGCCATATCCTCTTCCCCCGTGTCCGTCCAGTTCGTCATGTACACTTCAGGCGGTTAACAAATTTGAACGCACAGGTATATTTATATGTAAGTAATGTATATACGTTCGTGTGTGTGTGTGTGTGTATTAATTTCTGGGACTACTCTGCCCCTTACTGATCTGCAGTCAATACTGAAAGAAACTTGACCTGATGGGACTGTCCACTGTTATTTTGTTATTGGTATCCTAATGAGTGTGAAAATTATCCTGGTCGCTGTGAAAATTACCCTCATCGTTGAAAATTATCCTAATGACTGAAAATTATCGTGATTGCTGTAAAAATTTTCCTGATCGTTGAAAATTATCCTAATCACTGAAAATTATCGTGATAGCTGTGAAAATTATCCTGGTCGCTATGAAAATACCCCGTGTGAATTTTTTTCCCGCGCGTCACTACAACAGTCTCGGTAACTCTTAACATGAGTTGAATATTATAAGCCAATAAGTATTAGACATAAAAGGAGTTAACTTTTATTGTTTCACTTATCTGCGAAAATCACTGCCGGGTTTAGTTTTTAAGTTTAAAGGGCGTCAACTTTAGAGAGAGATAATGAGATAGGTGGTGAGATAGGTAGTTAGAGAGATAGGTGGAAAGTTAGATAGATAGGCAATAAAATCGTCATATAAGTTTACATTGGTTCATCGTATACTGTACATAGACAAGACACATATACAAACACAGGTAAACAGTGAGTCGACGCAACCAGGAACCAACTAAGAAAATTGATGATGAAATCCTATATTGGAATTAGCCTATTGTATAGTTTTATTATTTGTTTTTATATCTATATGGTAGTTATTTTATTGTACTTTGATCAAAATATATACTTGTGCACTTATGTATTTCTGAATAATCCGTTTCATTCCGTTACCGCGAGGGCCGTGACGTCATGGGGTATGGCTTCCCGATCAGCGACACCTCTTGTTATGGTCACCAGCTGAAAACCACACTTGTTCCTCTTCCGCTGGGAAACTGGAGGAAACCTGTTTATTATTTGTATATATATATATATATATATATATATATATATATATATACAGTATATATATATATATATATATATATATATATATATATATATATATATATATATATATATATATATATATATATATATATATGTATATTATCCCTGTAATCGTTTTAAGAAGGGGAGAGATTATTGTAATCATTTTGTATCTGGGCGAGTCAGTTATCAGAGTCAGGCAGCAGGTCCAGATTAGCGTTGTATTAGCACGGTTGTCATCATATACTTGTCTGACTCACTCTTGTTCGAGGTAAAGTCCCTTAAGATTACAGTAACGACCCCCTGACGGAGACACGATGATCCTCTCCATACTGACCAGATATTTTGTCAATAATATTGATTATGTGTTAAAGGAATATCCTTCCTTCCTTCCTTGGGCTTTAGTAAGCTCCTTTATAATATTTATACTGTATATACTTGTCACACTTGCCAGATGCTTCTGGTGTCATTGTACAGGGGTACCTAGTGACAGCACTAGGATCCCGCTTCCTCTATCAAGGAATAAACAATTGAAATTGATTTGAATTGATTACAGTAAGGCCCCCCTCTCCCCCCCTCCCGGCAACTTTTTGGAAGCGTGACGGATTTCAGGGACATCTTGAGGTCATATGAACTGGACATTAGGACATATTCTAAGGTTGGAGATGCAATATTTCGTTCATGAGTGTGATTGTAAGTGAGGTCCGCCACTTTTGTCAGGGCGGGAGATACGGCCGCATTGCAAGGTACCATTAGCCCAGATGAATTAACGAGGTCAGATGTAGTGGCCATGTGGGTTGGGAGTGACCAGACATTTTGACCCTTACAGAAGGTTGGCTTACTAACTTGACTCATAGTGACAGTGACAGGGGTAAGAGAGGCAGCCCAGGTCTTCAAATGAGGCGATTCTCCAGTGAGGTAATTAACAGACCTGAATCAGGTCAGACTCCACTTGTTCCACTCTGACCCTCAATCTCTCTTACATACAAACACTGAGACAATATTTACGTATAAAATAGGGTCAATGGCCGACGCATGATGAACCCAGAAAAAAACTATACGCATTTGCCTTTACTGCGTATACCAAGTAGCTACGACCTTGCATGATTATACTGGACACTATACACGCCATTTTAATCGTACGCATCTATGGCAGTCCTGGCTTTAACCTGCCTCAGACATATAAACTATGCAGTTATAATTTAATTAACTGATAATATATAAATTGTTTGTTCAGGCATCCGAATAATTAATAATTGTCAATTGTAGCGCCGTGATGTTAACTATTACTGAAGTGAACAGCAAGTGTGTCCTAGAGAATAATCACGCTGTATTGTTACATGCACCGGGTGATACTGGAACACTCGATAGGAAAGGTCAGATTCTGCAGCTGTTGTTGACCTTTTCTGTGGTGTAATAAGTTCAATGAAAGGTCATTCTGGAACTTCTTAACCATACTTTGACGCTTCTATATAAGTGGTTGGAACTTGACCTTACTTGATATAAAAGATCAGTTTTTACAGCTATCTCAAATGATACAAAACAATTGACCTTACAATCGACCTTCCATTCAAGGTCAGTATACAACTTGACCCGTACCTACCGTAATCTCCTCATCGTTTCTTCATATTATACACGTTATAAGGTCATAGTTCAAATATTTTTTCTCCTGACCTTTTTCACCTTTGACCTCTCCTCTGAGGTCGCTTATTGTCACGTGGTCATTGTAGTGGTGTGACTCATTATTATTATTAAGATATATAAAATGTCAGTGTTTTTATTTTTGTTTTAGTTCCGGAGAAAATATGACCCTGTTTTAGGTGATTGGAAGTATTGTGTAGTGAAGGTTGTTGGTGGTAGAGGTTGTTGTTGTTGTCGGTGGTGGTGTTATTATTATTATTATTATTATTATTATTATTATTATTATTATTATTATTATTATTATTATTATTATTAATAGACTGTTTAAATCATGCTAACTCGTAACAATGGTTTTAAATTAGACAAATTTAGATTTAGGCGCGAGATAGGTAAACATTGGTTTGGAAATAGAGTAATGGACGAGTGGAACAAGTTACCAAACATCATCATTAACTCGAATACGCTGGATAGCTTCAAACATAGGTTGGATGGATATATGAGCGATAGGGGTTGGGTGTAAACGGGATTGCCCAGTATGGGCCAATAGACCCGCTGCAGTTTCCTCTATTCTTATGTTCTTAATATTTTGGTCATTATTTCAGAAACTGGTGGGAGGAACTCTGTTGACCTTTCTTGATCTTCAACTGTGACCTGCAGTGACCCAGCGAACCAAGTTAATATCAGTGGTGACCTCCAGTGACACGAGGCGAAGTGAAGTGACCCGAGTTAACCTTCCTGTGACCTCTCGGGACCCTCCAGAAGAGCATCATGGAGCGAAATATTCCTCACGTGCTGGATGTGTTCACCTGCTCCCCCAGGGCCAGGCGCCGCGTCCATACCACTGATCTGGACCAGGTGAGAGAGAGAGAGAGAGAGAGAGAGAGAGAGAGAGAGAGAGAGAGAGAGAGAGAGAGAGAGAGAGAGAGGTTGTGGTAGTAATGATTATGGCTAGCCACTATCCCTAAAAATATGATCCGCAAATCAATTAACACCTGGTCTCCAATTACTGTTGGGTAGACAGAGGCACGTGGTGTAAAGAAAGTTGCCCAAAGTTTCACCCTGCGTATATACACATACCAAATACATGCATACAAACTCACACACATACACATAAATCAGTAAGTACAATCAAGCTAAGAATATATCAAATTAGGTAAATCTCAGTATACTCTGACCAGTGACCATTACTGTAGAAAATAGTCAGACCTACGAACTCATTATCCTCGTCACTGTCACGATCAGCACTGAAAATTGTACGTTACTTTTAAAAGTTAGATCAATACTGATATTTTATTTGTGTCTACTGAGTTCGTAGTTGTTGTTGTTGTATTGATGTCGGCCTGGCATTGTCTGCTAAAATAGAATACCAGTTTGTTTTTCAGCTTTTTGTATTCTAGTAAATGTTTATATTCCGCCTAAATTTATATCATGACTTCTTGTTGTTTATTAATGATTATTATGTTATTGTAAATAGATAAAATACAGACTCGGTAGTTACTTTTTTCTGATATAATCGTGTCACAGATAGTGTCACCTCTGGCGTGGGAAACATCTAACAAAGTGTAAACATTGAACTCTGACTCTCTTTTGTTTTGGCGCGCTTCAGATAGTCGTCAGCGGTGAGTTCAGAGATGGCCTGGTATTTTATATGGTTTACGTAACTATGACCTTAAAACCCGTGATATTATTGTGTGTGTGCACGTGAAGAAGACATTTACAGTTTGTATATAATAATAAAAAAATCAATATCATATCAACCTTTAAACCTCTCAAAATGCTCTCAAGGTCTTAATAAATTACATAACGAGAAACTATAACAACTAACACTCAATAAGTCGTCAGGTCTGTTTACTTTTATCTTAGTTATCCACAAGCAGGAAGAATATGGAATAGTGTACAGTATTATGACTTCAATATAATCTTAACGCAGGAGATGATGTTCAGTACAGTAACCTTAGTGTTCATTGTTATCTCATGAGACAAGTAATGGACACATCTTGACGTGTACGCGGATCTCTGGGATGTTATCTCTTATCTCGTCTGTTATCTGGTGTTTTTTTTTTAATTTTCAGTTGAGTTATCTTATTATCTTTCATGCATTGTTTTTAGACATTCCCAGTGACCTATTTGTATGTGTGTGTGGGGGGGGAGGTTTTTACCTTTTCTTTCACATACATACATACGTACGTACATACATGATAGATTAACCCTGTGAGTACGATGTCTTAATCCCTTGAGTACGATGTCTTAACCCCTTGAATAAGTTATCTTAACCCTTTGAGTACGATGTCTTAACCCCTTGAGTACGATGTCTTAACCCCTTGAGTACGATGTCTTAACCCCTTGAGTATGATGTCTTAACCCTTTGAGTACGATGTCTTAACCCCTTGAGTACGATGTCTTAACCCCTTGAGTACGATGTCTTAACCCTTTGAGTACGATGTCTTAACCCCTCCGCCTCAACAGGTCGCCGTACAGATGAAGGACGCGGAGTTGACACAGAAGAACCCTGGCAATGATTCCGCGGTGTCGGTGGGCTCCAGCGACGATGACGACGAGGCGAACATTTCCAAGTACTTCGACTACCTGAACGACGATGACCCGGGTAGTGGCAGCGCCTCCAGGAGGAAGAAGAAGAAGAAGAGTCAAGGGAAGGAGAACCAACAGGGAAGTGATAATCAAGGGAAGGAGAATCAGGATAAGGATAATAAAGCGAAGGAGAAACAAGAGAACGAGAAGTCTTCCTCAGAGAGAACCAGTCGTAAAGAGAACTACGAGAAGGACATGCGACACATCGAGCGTCACCTCTCCATGAAGAAGACGATTCGTAAGAAGATGATGCGTGACCTCCAGCAGGCGTTTGTGGAGGACCCCGGCGAATTCCAGCAAGACCCCAACATCATGGCCCCAGAGAAAAAGAACAACATCGACATCCGCAACCTCACCTTCTCCAAGAGCCGCCTCTCAAAATCAGAACATAACTTCCTGGACATGCTTAAAGACGAGACAGCCAAGGAGAAGGAGAAGAAGGAACGTAAGGGTATATTAGGCTATAGAGATTTTATGAAGAATAACAAAAATAAGGAATCCCAAGATGTACTCAAGGATGATGACTCAGGCAATGGCTCCCCGTCACGTGAGGCACCGAAGAATGCCGTGAGTAAGGAGGACTTGATAGATACGAAGGACACGCCCAAAGAAGAGAAGAAAATAGGATTCTGGAAGAAACTAACAGGGAAGGGAAAAAGCAAGCGATAAGGGGCCGAGTTTTTTTTTCCCCATTATGCCCCTCCTTAAAATAATTGACTGTGATAACCTTCCTGTGCCTATTGCACCAGCAGCCATCCTTTAACTCTTCCCTGTTACGTCCTCTGTTATAGGGTCCACCCAGTCATAGTTTGTTTATAACGTCATCTGTTAGTGTTCTGCCTCAATAATGTTCTTCATCTTCCTCTTCCTGACTTTGCCCCTCCACCTCTTGCTCCTCTCCCCCATCTTTATCTTAAAATTAACCATTTCCTTGTTCTCTCAATATCTTTAGCTTATATCACCTTTCTTTCCACCATTATCTCCTCCTCCTCCACCTTTACTATCCACCATTATCTCCTCCTCCTCCACCTTTACTATCCACCATTATCTCCTCCTCCTCCACCTTTACTATCCACCATTATCTCCTCCTCCTTCACCTTTACTATCCACCATTATCTCCTCCTTCACTATCCACCATTATCTCCCCTCCACTGGTATGTCTCTACAGTCTTCCATCTTGCAGACCTCAGCTAGTGTTTACGAATCGCTTAGATGCAAAACAAACCTCACGTGTAAGTCTGTATAAATATTGATCATGTTCCTGTATATACCCTAGAGTTAGGGATTCTTTTTCTTATTATTATTTCTTTTGTTAGAGGTAATGGGTGTCCGTCATGTTCACATTTTGATAATTTAAGCTTTGGAGAATATCTCTATGTGTCAGTCTTAGTTTTGAGCTGAAATCGATAAATGTGATTCTAAAGTGATAGTTTTAAGGCTGAGGTTGATAGACATTTTTATCTCACGTATATTTTTTTTTTTTAATGATTTCTTAGTTGTTGTTTGGTAAATAATGAATAAATATATATATATATGTATTTTAGTTCCATTGAAGAAGCCTGTATGATGCTGTTTTAGAACATCCATTCAACATTTATGATCAGGTCATAAGAGTTATTATGGGTGTTTCATGTGACTTGGTATTGTGTGCTTATTGTTCCTCATTTGTTTTGGGATGTTGTAAGTTAGGAATCTTGTTATTCATATATTTATTTAATTTTCGAGGATGATATCATATTAGGGTAAAGATTGGACCAATGCTTTATTATTATTATTATTTTAAGATGGAGATAATATATGTGCGATAAAATATAGTTACTAAGATCCTGAGATGTGTTTAGTTATGAGGAATTTTAATTACACAATACACGTTATGTTGATGATTTAGTGCCAATAGTAACTAGCTCTTCAATACTGGGACTCTACAACCCACAATGTGTTATAGAAATAATGTGTAAATATTATTGTATCGAATATATATATGTGTGTGTGTGTGTGTGTGTGTGTGTGTGTGTGTGTGTGTGTGTGTGTAAGTAGCATTACTCTTAAGATTTGGTAATGCAGGGAGTTTGTTAGGTAAGTGAAGGACCCATAACCTTGACTTGGGTTTACTTATAACTGCTTCACTTGATAACTATAGTAGTGGCAACAGTGTTTATCTGTATCACACACACATTTTCTTGTGATGCTTCGTTAGGATTCATTCATTACAAATATGTGGCATTCTATGATACTCTTCTTCTCTGTGTTTTGTCTTCAGCAGCAGTTCAGTCAAAAAAACCATAAAAAAAAATGTTTACTGTATTAGTTTTCCAGATTTTTATTAATACCCATTTTTTCAATTTTGTTTTTCACCATGTTGGTTTCATTTCCTTGTGTGTCATGATTGTTACAATGGCTATCTCTGTCTGTACTATAATAATCTTTCTTTCTGTCAACACACACATAATATCACACGTCCCAGTCTTTATTTAGTCTCAGTTACACCGATCCTTCAGCCAGTATTCAGAGGGACACATAATAAAAAACTTGACTGTGTGTGTGTAAATATTCACGTTAAATGAATTCATATCTCAAAACATCCTTCAATCTTCAGACTCAATAATCATACCTATTGTCAGTCTCGTCCAAAGGCTCTTAGGAGGATCTGTATGTTTGTAAAGTCTCGATAAATTCTTTCCAATCCTCACAAGAGACAGGTCCTGATCACAGAGGCACATGCTGGCCCTTGAGAACTCTGAGAATATATTCAGGTTTAAACATACACGTTATCTGACCATCATTTAAGACATTTGTTTTGTGTTGTTTAATTTTTGCTTTTCTCAATACAAGAACAGGTATTGTATATTAGTCTTGGGTAAATGGTGTGTTTTAGTTTCATTAGACAAGTTTGAGGGAAGGAGTGTATATCCTGTGTGATCTTAGTCTTTTATATACTCTATAGACGGAGGTATATAACTTTGTATTCCATTATGGCTGAATTATAACGAGTTTGTATCATGAGCTTATGTGAAAAAAACTTTATAGGTCACATCTTTAAATTCTGTAGAAAGTTATCTATATCATCACCATCGGATCTTAAAGACACATTTTTAGGTCAATTTATCACTGAGACTTGACACCTCCCGCCATGGCTGTGTTAGTGGGGTCTAGGAGCTGCCTTGAGAGCGCAAAATTAGGCGTTTGCAGTTTACCCCCAGTCCGCGGCGGCCAGTCGGCCGCGGCGAGTTTCCCGCGGCCAGTTGGGCTGCGGCCAGATGGCGGCGGCCAGTTGTCCCATTCCCGTGTTAGTGACCCACAACAAGACACCTGACATTTTTCTGATCATTGTCTTTACATTATTTTATTTCTCTACATTGTCTTGTTCGTCTTGTATGTACTTGTGAACATTATACACTGATCATTACCTATACCTTAATGTATATCTTGAGTAAAAGAAATTAATGGTTTATAGATGTCATTAAGGATTATGTTAAAAATTCAACACGCTAGAAGATAATGTAAAACTGCACTGATTGTAAGCTTTCACTCCTTCAGGTTTTTTTTTAGGGATTGTACTGTGTGTGTGTGTGTGTGTGTGTGTGATGTTTAGCTTTTCCAAATGTATAATTTTACTATTGTATTTAAAAAATAAAAAGATAATGAAATTTATGCATATATACACATATGTACAGTATACTTCTTGTGTCTTTAGTACGTGTACCTAATTGATATTAAACTGATTTAAGTCAACAAACTGTTACGTGTTTGTAGGGCAAGATGGCTCATCGATATACATTGTACCTGTACCTCCTCTTTACACACATCTACTGTATTATTCACTCACCTGGAATTTTTACTCATACGCGCACACACACATGCACAAATATACATAACACACAAACAAAAACATACATAACACACACAGATATACATATATACAAACACACACATACACTACTCTTATTTCTTTGCTGTCAGTCGGAATTGAGTATGACGATCATCCATCTATGAAACAAAAAAAATGAGTTGTTAAGGATGTCACCTTCGTTGGTGAATTCTGAGGTGACTCAAGAGGTCGATACGGGACCGGCAGAGTCGTCCACAGATGTTACACGTGTGGAGGACTACATCTAGTGCAGCAGCATCTTTCCGGCGCTGGCGCTTGTCTGCAATTGGGCTAATTCGAAAGTATTGACACCCCGTGTGGTGCTCCTCCAAGCGTTATGATGTAGAGTGATCGTCTCCCAGGTAGGTAGTAGGTAGCTATCAAACAGGGAGGTACTACCGCCTGGGAAGATAATGGAAGCATAATGTGTCGTCTAATGGTGGACCCTGCTGCCATATGGGATCACAAAAATTGTGACTCAAGTCCCAGGTTGCTGAGTTGACCGACTTCCTGCCTCATTTACACACAATTGCAGGGTCTCAATTGTTTCTCTTTCTTTGACAACACAACATATATATCGTTTTTCACTTTTCCATTTCTGTATTCATTTTTTTCTTGCTTGTTCAGTATAGTATTTTAGTTTGCAAGGAATTTTCGTCCCAGTTACACCTTGGAGAAGCTGACAGCTCCTATAACAGGAATTTAATTTACATTTGTACAGTACATTTTATTCATTCACATAGTTTAATGGGTACTATCATTAATATATCTTCATTAATGAGCTTATTCACGTAAATTTTTGTAATTGTACAATTTAAGACAAGGAATTCTGGTATAATGCATACATTTCTAGAATTTGACATTTTTTGTAATCCGTACTACACATGTACAGTATACAGTATATTTGAAACCTAAACTTAATATGTAAATTAATTGTTGCTTTACTAAATTTTCATCTATATATCAGAGGGATACAGGTTAACTAATATGTCTACTGGACCGTTATATATTACTGGTATGAACAATTCCTCAGAAACTGCTTTGTAACACACCAGCCTCGGCGGTATAGATCACACTACACCGGTATTAACAATTGCGGGGTACAGTACAGTACAGTACAACTATAAAAGAAAAATTACAGGCATAGTTTTGAAATTATGGATGGCTGTAGTAAAGTAAACATTAAATTGATAACTCAATATTCTATCACTGTTTGTCTTGTGATCTGCGTCACCTTTTTTCTGGTCAATACAGTAATAATATCAACAGAAAACCAACACATTTTTACTTGAGCAATAAAATAAAACTAAAGAAAATTTAGTTTGGGCAAAAGATCCGTAGGTGGAATACAGTGATAAATTCTTCAATTTATTTAATCCTTTTTCCCGAGAGGTAGACAACACTCCTTCCTTAAGTCTGTTTCTCTGGGTGATTTCTTTGAGGTAACACCATCTTTTCTCCTCCTATTCACGACATATTTTCATCAGCCAGTTCTAATGACAATTCTTGATGTGGCTACACTCACCTGTGTTTATTATCTGTACAGTAGTTCTCGATACTTCTAGTATGTTTCTGTTCTTTTCGTTCAGAGAGAGAGAGAAAAAGACTAATTGTTACTCTTGGGTGTTCCAAGCAGCTCGTCCTGGCTGCTAAATCTAATTTTCCGTCTCCATTGATTCCCTTTACCTAGACCCCTATTAGGGGCTGGGTTGTCACTCTCTGTTTGGGGATTAACGTCTGGTTTACCCTGAAGGTCAATATATGGACGTTGAGTATTCCACGAGGTTTGTTGCTCAGAATGTCCATAATTATACCTGTGAGTCGGATACGGGTGGTAGCCACCGTCACGATCCCAGGAGCTCCTAGCTGAAGGGCCAGGACCATATATTGCACCATGAAAGTTTGCCGACTCTCTAGTATTCCTGTAGTCATGATGAGGGTAATATGATATGTTTGAATTTGAATTGCTGTTTCCTTTTGAATCTTTCATGTGTACCACAGTAGTCTTTTTGAACTTAAAGTGAAGCTTACTCTGTGTGTTTTTACCAGGAGCAGGATCACTACCAGAAAAGTAAGTACTGGATGAATCAGACTTACGTTGGCCCATACCTAAGTTAGACATAGAGGCCCACCCAGCCGAAAAAGCATGTGCATCACCTGCCAAGGACTGTTCAAGTGTAGATGCTTCTGCCGTGTGTGAGGTGCTAAAATGGGATTCTTTCTCGCGTGGCGGCATCGTAGAGGCAGAGTTGGATGTTGAATACTTATCTGAAGGAGTCGCAGTCTTTTGGCAGCAGCCTTGTGTTGACCTCTGAGAGCATGCAGTTGTTCCTGATGATGATGATGATGAGTGTTCTGAGGAGAAAGTGGGCCTTGTTGCGCTTGAAGCTGACTGCATGTAAGTAGCACTCTTCACTCCAGGGGCAGAAGTGGTGGGGTTGTTAATGGTTGTTGTAGAAGGTTGTGGGACACTCGAGTTTCCCCCAGGAGCGGGAGCTTCGCCGCCTGATGTGGCTGAATCTTCTATTACCTTATTACCGCAATTAAATAGAGTAAGGAGGTGCAGTGGTAATATTGGCCGCACTTCCATCTGAAATACAATCCCAATTGAAGATCTTGCAGGAAACTCTTATATAAATAATACACATGAACTGGAGACAACACCGGAACGCACCACATAGAGGTTAATTGTCATCTCTCACTGAGGGTTTCTATCCTTGGCTGCGTTGTTACTGTAACTGTGCTTTGTGGTGTATCATACACGCTCACTTAAAGGTGTCACACGCTCACTTAAAGGTGCCACACGTTCACTTAATGGTGTCAACACTCACTGAAAGGTGTCACACGCTCACTTAAGGGTGTCACACGCTCACTTAATGGTGTCACACGCTCACTTATAGGTGTCACACTCACTTAAAGGTGTCATCCGCTCACTTAATGGTATCACACACTCACTTAAAGGTGTTGCACTCACTTAAGGGGGCCCCGGCTCACTTAAGGGAGTCATACACACACACACACACACACACACACATACACTCATGTTACAAAGAGTTTCAAGACTTAATCCGTGTCAGATAACATAAACCACCTGGCTAAATGTGACGGCGGTTTTTATAATGAAAAATCAAGTAAGGACTAAACACACACAATAGCTACCCATCTCAGGAGGTGCTGGAAGGATGCAACATAAACATACCTCGAATTGTGGTGTCGGAGGTGGAGAGTTCCTGGTGAAGGTGCGGGGAGTGGAGGGCGTCACTCCTGGCTTTGTCCCACCAACGTTTTGCCCCCCAGTGCTGCCTTTTAAACCTTCATTGTCTCCATTTTCAGATGTAGAGCCAGAAGCATTTTGCGTCACTGTCCCAATTAGATTAGGAACAGTGGTCACAGTGTCAGTTGACGACCTGAAGTTGTACCGGTGCTGGCGGGGATGAGAGTCCTGTTCACCAGTACTTGAAGGAAGTGAAGGTGAATCACCTCCCTTTGTCCTGGTATTAGCGAGAGAAAAAAATAATGCAATCACTCGAGTTAGTTTATGAATAAGTTAAAGAAGACAAGTACTCCATGTTAATAATGACCTAATATTTCAATTATGGAAAGTGCTGGCATTCCTAATTTTGCAGGTGTTCGTTAAATCCCTATCTAAAAAGATACTACGGTGTGTGTGTGCGCGCGTGTGTGTGTGTGTGTGTGTGTGTGTGTGTGTGTGTGTGTGTGTGTGCGTGTTATAATAAAAGGTCTCACTTGTATACGCTTCTCTATTTTGATCACTAGGACAGAAAAAACAACTCCTTTACAAGCCATAATATATCAAGATACCATAACCTAACCCCTGACAATAAGAACGATTCTTATGGGGAGATTAAGATGAGTGAGACTGGTTAGGTGAAAATAGTAGCTGTGTCGCAGTTCTTGTATTATACTGTAGTGAATAAAAAAAATGCATTCGATCACATGAAGAGTAGCCCCTCCCCCAGCTTATCTCATCTGACGTTACCTCGAGGTTGGGTTAGATTAAGTTAGGTTAGGTTGGATTATGTTACTTTTACTTTTATCCTCTTCGCCACTGATCTGCTCGTTAGCCGCTTGGGCCATCGGTCACGTCTCTGTTACGCACTGTTGGCAGGTACTGGCTCCTGAATGTATCTGAACCTGCTCCAGTGCTTGTCAAGTCTGGTCTTGAAAGAGCTCACACTCTGTGCCGTCACAACACTCTGGCAGGTTGTTACCCCTCACAGTTTTCTGGACTTGTGGCTTCTTCAACTTTGAGAAGTGACCCTTTGTGGGGCGAGCGTCCGCCAGCTCCAGGTAGTTTAGTTTAGTTTAACAAATTTATTGACAAAGCTTGGAGTACAGTTTGCCTATTCTGAGTAATTCAGTCAGGTCTTGACGCTGAGGGTGGTATCACTTCTCACTGCCACGCAGGACAGAGGTTCATATACAAAGGAATATATCATATTCATTAACAGTATATATAGCTCCAGGTAATGACACTCGACTGAGTACAGTAGTGCCCCCTTGAGATGTTTATACACCTCAATTAGGTCCCCCCCTTGCCTGTCTGTAGTATAAGCTTGGCAATTGCAGGCGCTCTAATCTCTCAGGGTAGCTGAGGTGCCGAAGTGCTGGCACCAGCCTGGTGGTCCTCCTGCTACTGCTAAGAATTAATACCACGTAAACATAAACTCTAAATTTACGAACATTAAAGAGATATTTTGGACCTTAATCACAGTAAAACCTTCATATAACGGACTCTTTCATATAATCCGTTAGGTGGGAGTTCCATATCTAATGTATCCTCGGTATA